TCACTAAGCTTTCGGGCTTACAGTTGCGGTTTAATGTTTTTCAGGTTCTTTAGGTGATCGTGGCAAGGAAAAGGCGTGATCGTACCGCTCCTCATGTTTATGTTTTATGTTATGGTTCTGGGAATACCCTGATAATAAATGTATTGAAAACCTTTTTGTAAAAACTTAAAATTGGGATGTTTTTTAAAAGTTTAAATTGGCCTGAATTTATCGTCGTTACAATCTAGCATGGCATGGGGTACTTTTAAACATAAAGAACAAGAAGAATTACATACCTTTGATTGTGAGTTGATTCCTTTGGAGTTTGAGAGCCAAGCACCAATAATGTGAATGCCTCAAATGGAAATCACAAAACACCACAAACTTGGAAAAAAACCTTTATGAGAGAGTATGTATTTGCTCTAGAAATCGGCCACTCTTATGCACACACACTTAGTGTCATTTCAAGCATCACAAGCCTCTTTATATAGTGTAGATGATTAGAGTAAACCCTAATAACCCATGTCTTTTCCTCTTCCAAGGATCCATGGGTTAAAAGCTCCAGATCATCCATGGACTCCCATTTAAGCTTAGCCCATTTCCATAATGAGTGTTAGCCCACACTATATAAATATAATAGCCCATGTTTAATTAGTCACCTTTTTTATCACTAAATTAATTCATAATTAATTTAGGATCAATACATATTAATATATTATAACTTATAATATATCAATAAATCATAAACATACTATTCTCATAAATAATATCCATATAAATAGTTCAGGTGAAGTGCAACCCAAATGGACCATGTCGGGTCGGGTCAAGTATATACCAAATAAGTTATGGACTTAGACACCTTATCCAACAGGCATGTCTATAAGCTAGTAACTAAGTAGGGATTTAAACCTAAGTTGATTTAAGCTAAATTATGTCAACACCAATCAAAAGATTAAACTTGAAAGCCAAGTTATATGAACCTTTGAAGGGCAAAAGGAGTCAACACAAGTCCAAGTATAAGTATATAAGCATACTATGGTATATTACTTAAAGGATTTCGAGTGTTAGAATCTTGGAACACTATAGAACCGAAAACAACATTCTAAAACCCCACCATGACCGAAATCAATTACTTTTAGAGTGTTACAACCGAAAACACACTTACTTAAGCCCATTATGGCCGAAAACCCAACCTTATGGGACCGCAATCCCTTCTGTAAGGTCCATTAGGATCGAAATCACTCTTTTGTGAGTGATTTGGGATGATTTCAGCCATATTGGACAGCAAACTCTTAGTTTGGTCGTAAACTCTTGCAAATTGACGGTAAACCCCTTAAATATATTCCTATCTTATCCTTATTCAGTTTCCCAATGTGATATGATACAGTTACCAACGTAAACTTCACATCGACTCCTCATTTTACTTCCTATTTAAGATACTTAAATGAGATCACTCTTCATTTACAATTCCAGTAAATGAAATCATCCATACCTTCTCTCAATATATCACACATCTTTTCTCTCAAGTCCTTCACAAACACTCTCTTGGAAGTTTATTGATCCATACTTCTCCTTAATAATTTGATAAGTATTCTTCACTTGTTCTATGGTTATTCAACACATAAGTTCTTGTTTCATCAAATGTTCACACATTAATATGTGTATGAAACCATTAGGATTACGACATTCTTCTAGTATTCTAGCCCGAAGTCACCATTTTTGTCTCGTTATCGAACCACGACTACACACACGGTGAGTTCATCACCCTACACTTTTTATAACTTTTTTTATATTTTAAGGGGGGAATACAAGTAAAACGCAAGAAAACTTGTGTAAATATACAAACCATTATTTATGCTTTCTTATCTTTTATAAGCATTTTACGTAAAATTACTAAATATGAGAAACAACGTTATTACCAACTTTATAAATATTTACATGCAAACTATGTTAAAACACAACGGTTTACATTATCAACTAAACATATATTTTAAACTATAATAGATATAGTTTGGGGAACATTCACATTATTCTACCTTTTCGGGGCAAAGAAATGATTATATAAAAATACGATTTATTTTTATATTTTATAACAAAAAGGGTAAACACTTTCAGATCAAAAACATGTAAACTCGTTGGATAAGGGTGTGAGTCAATGTCTTTGTCGTACCTACCAAGGTATATATGGAAGTCTTGTATTATAACCCGAGTCTCCTTCCGGAGAGTGTGATAATTGTGTATAGATCTATACGAGATTGATGATCACGCACTTCGGCTAAAAGCTACAGCCAAACCGGCAAGTTATGGGTGAAAAATATCAAATAGTGCGACGCCTGAAGAACGTCGAGGCAGGAAAATCATTCGTTAGCACGGTTATGAAAACTCACATGGGGATAAACGACTATACGTGAATTTTTACGTAAAAACATATCTCTTCAAATAGTTTTATATACAAATAAAACTAGTTATAACTATTTTAAGTATTGATATTACTTGTACTTTTTGATCTTGGATCATATTAAACTACAGTTCTGTTTTATGGAAAATATGGGATTTTCCGGGATACACACAATTATTTTGCAAGTAAACAACTCACAGATTAGTTTTATGGAAAATATAGGATTTTTCCGGGATAAACAAAATTTATTTACAAGCAAACAGTTTACAATTCAGTTTTATAAAAAAATATATATAGGATTTTCTGGAAACAAATACGGTTACCTACAGCTTGGTTAGGACCCGTATTTGCTGATCTATGATTCCTTAGTTTATATAACTAGTATACACTAAGTAATCATAAGAGGAACTAATATGTGTCACATTACTTATATAAATTGGTTACATTAATTATATGAACTCAAAGCATCATATTTCATATTTTAAGCATAAGAAACTTATATATTTTGGTCTTAAGGCCTAAGATGACATTCCTTTTTATTAAGAAAATATACAATTTTCTAGAGGAACATAGTAACATTTTCAAAGAATAAAGAACATACTTTTAAATACAAAATGCTTATGAACTCACCAACTTAAATATTGACACTTTTTCAAAACTACTTGTATTGTCAGAAAATTAGTAGACATGTACCCTCTCAGACATTACGAAGACGGAGTATAGCAATGTTACGTGTTATCTTCTACTATAGTTTTAATGTTAATCATGCAATTTTTTGAAAACAACGTAAATTATATATTATCAATGCAATGGTTGTTGTTGCTTTAATTACTGTTATACAATGGTTGTGATACTGTACATGACGTCCTCTACCCCCAAACGTTTCCGTCATTCCGGTTTGGGGATGTGACACTATAACATCATCCCCATCATAAATTCTCAATAAAAGCATACAAAAGCATACTTGAAATTGGTGTTATTAAGTTACTGCAATCCCAATGATAAAGTTAAAAGTTTGATTATCTGGATGTTTACACCTCAAGATCTTGATCTCTAAGTGTTCTAGCCTTAAAATCATCATTTTATGCTATCCAAGGCATGTATAGGTGAAAATGAACCAAAGAAGCTAACTTAAGTTTTAAAATATGTAGTATGTAATGTCAGCTTAAACATGGCGTGTTCTCCACATGGATGTGTTGTATTATCTCACTCACTACTCAACATTGTATTTTTAAACCTATCGTGTCATCTTTACATCATGCATCATGTATAACAAAGTACATTACTATCTTCTTGAATAGCTACATACATCTCCGTCTTACGTCAAAACATATCATAACTTAGTTTTACATGCCTCGTAAATTCTTATGTACGTGTCGTGTGCACGGTTCCATATTTATAAAATTGTAATTAAAGAGTTATATAACATTCTTCTTCATGATTATACACCAATGCATATCAAAATACATGCTCTAATCTCCTTACTTATCCTATAATCAAATTACACATCTTACAATAATACATTCTATAATAAGAAACATGTGTTATAAAACAACTTATTCACAAAGTTGTGGTCATTTATTTAAAGAAAAAAATAATTTTAATATTTTCGATATTGAAATTGATTATAAACTAATCACATTTTTGTTTATCAAACTCAATGTAATAATACCCAGGATTAACCGTTTGGAGTTAGAGTGTGTTTGGCTAAACTTAAGAAATGAGTTTTGTTAACTTATTGTTGATTCCATACCTTACTAATTCCATACCGATACAAATTAAATGAATGTTTAAATAGACAATTTTTAAAAACAACTTATAATGACATGTAACCGAAGATAAATCATTTTTGATAACTTACTTTCACTAGTTTGTCAAAACTTTTTATAAGTTATAGTTATTCAATGTGTAGTAAATTTTAGTCATTTTGCTAAATACTAATAATATTGGGAGAATTTCATATATACCCTTCTTAAACTTCAAAATATCATATTTACCCAGCTTAATTTCTTAATATCATATTTACCCTTCATAAACCTTCAAAATATCATGTTTGCCCAAATCCTTTTTTATAATGTTTTTAATATTTTATAATATTTTTTTATACCTTAGAATTATTACAATAATTAAGAAATTTAACCATATTATCCTTACGTCTATTATAATGGAATATAAAATTCTAAATTGTTGGAATGTCGGCCTCTTGATAGACAAAAAGATTCATCTTCAACCCTTTTATGGAATGTATATTTTAATTGTTTTGTTTTTGTTGTTGTTGGTTATTATTATGTTCTAGATGAAGGATATTTTAAATATTACCATTAATATTTTGATGTTTAAAAAGTGTATATATGATATTTTGATATTTAAGAAGGACATATATGATATTTTGATGTTTAAAAAGGACATATATGATATTTAGAAATTTTATGAAGGGTAAATATGATATTTAGAAATTAAGTTGGGTAAATATGATATTTTGATGTTTAAAAAGAGCATATATATTAATATTTATCAACTTATTAGACAAGCTAAAAGCACTTGGCCATTTCAAATAATACACCCCGGTCTTCGCACTTCAACGGTTCAACCTATCAGAACTCCATCAACGCCCATCAGAAAACACCATGTCTGAAAACGAATTCATAAAACCAAATGTAGTCGACAGTGATGATGACGATGATACAGTTTGCTTGGGCGAATCTTTCTTCATAGATGACAAGTATCTCCTTCTCTAATACGTAAATAAACAGCGAACAGCAATTGATCGATTTCGCTATTGATTCATTTTCTTTTTCTTATCTTAATGTGCAGCTATGAGCTTACTACGTTTACATTTGGGCCACATGTCCTTCAACTTCTTTGTCTCCAATCATCTTCGAGTATGTTTTGTGCTTTCCACTTCTCACGTTTATTACTTGTCATTCCTTTTTAGGGTTTCAGGTTTTAATAATCCGCCATTGATTTTAGGAAGTAAAAACTTCATACTGATTTCGTCTTACATACCTATATTCAATTGATATCAGGCATGAATCCGGTAAGACCGATTCGCGATTCATCTTCCACAACCAACTAATTTCTTATTAGGTCATATAATCGTATTCTCTTCGATTCAATACGATTTCATTTCAAACTACTATCTTTTGTTGTTGCAGCTGATTTCGATTTAACTGGACAGTTAGTATGGCCTGGTGCAAGGCTGTTGAATGAATACCTTTCAAATAACGTTGAGCTGCTACAAGGTTGTTCTGCTGTAGAATTAGGATCTGGTGTAGGTCAGTTATGTTTTCAAATACTACATTCTATTGTTTTAAATGTTTACATTTCTATCTGGAAAGTTTTTGGCTTTAGTTATTCATATTCAGAAATGGTGGTGTGTATGTGTGTGTAGGTGTTACAGGCATACTTTGCAGCAGATTTTGTCATAAAGTCGTGCTTACAGATCATAATGATGAAGTCCTCAAGGCACGATTGCAAGATTCAATTTTTTCTGCATAAACATATGGTAAGCTTTTTATTTTCTGGGTTGTAACTATTTACATAAATTTCCCTTTTCAGATCTTGAAGAAAAACATAGATCTTCATGTATCTTCTGACAACCCTAGTTCATGTTCTGGTAAGATTAGTAAATCAAGACACATATTTTGGAACTTGTTATCTAATATCAAGATTACTATGAACAGCTTTAAGTTCAGAGAAACTAGAATGGGGAAACACTGATCAACTTAACCAAATAATACAAAAGCATCCGGAAGGATTCGATCTTATTCTTGGAGCTGACATCTATATCCTATCATTTCTATCATTTCTTTCTATTAGAAAATTGTGTTTTCAATTCTTTTTTTATGAACAAATCAATGAAATTGCGAATGCTATTTCTTGACAATTGGTAAGCTTTCAGCAAAATAGTGTTCCTCCACTCTTTGACACTGTGAAAGAGCTTCTTTCTCAACATGGGAAAAAGCAATGTAGGTTCATATTGGCTTATGTCTCACGTTCTAAAATGTATGTGACTCTTTCTTTTAGGGTTCTTTTTAGCATCTTTCTTTTATTTCTTTTTATTATTAAGAAATTACCAAATAATTAGCTTTTTAATAATACATTCTTTTACAGGATGGATGCAATGGTACCCAAAGAAGCGGGTAATCACGGGCTAAAGATCCATGAAGTTGATGGGACCCGATCAGTGATTGGAAATCATGAGGGGGTTATATATGAGATAACCCTTTAGAAACTTAGAAAAATTAATTAAATATGATTCTTTGATAATTCATAATTGTGTGGAATATATCTTTGAATGTTAAATGATTGACAAAAGACAAATTACACCAAATAGCAATTTTACTTATCTTTTTCACCAATATAAACCACCTACTTTAATTTTTTCACCAATAATATTTCATACAATGCAACAAAATAGGGAAAGAGGAAGTCATTATAATATATTGAAACAAAAGATTAAATACTATGTAGTAGAAGTTGTTGTAGTAGTGTTGGTGTTTGAAGAATCAAAGTTGAGTTTAATGCCTTTCCCATATGCAGCAATTAGCAAAGCCTCAGCTCGGCCTACAATCAACAACCAATGAAATGCATTTGCATCAAACTATGCGATCAGAATGAGGAGGGTATTCATGTCTTTTTTTCAGATAATCAGAGTAGAAATAATGTGTAGACATGAATGAAAGTACCATGATCCTTTTTCCTTCTCAGAGATGAACTTATTTGTGGAAATAGATTGCATGCAAGTGCCCGGCTATTATCCTACCAAAATTTCACAATCAAAAGATTTTGTATGTTTAAAAATTAAAAGTATATATATTCCTAAGGCATTAAGGAAGAAAATTAAACCTTTGTTGAGCCATTTCCAGAGAGTTTGAACTCACTTTTCCAACGCATAGATGGCACTGGAACAACAGACACTTCAGATGCAACCAGGACTCCAATCCATAGCCCATAATTAAATCCACCACTCCACCATCCCTATAATTACACAAAACAATATTATTATTTAGTAATAATGAAAACAAATCTAGAAAAATTAAACCAACTTTAAGTTAAGTCATAACTAAACTAACCTGTTTCCCATCCCCTGGAAATGGAATTGATTGTTCTATGTATGCAGTTGTTCCTGAAACCAACTTAACAAGTTATAACAAAACTATGTTTTAGAATTCATTTCTTCCTATTATATAGCATTTACTTTGAGAGATTCTACCCAATTATAGCAATTTTCATCCGAATACAATGCTGTTGTTGGGTAGATTTTTTTTTTTTTTAAAAGAAGAAAAAAATGATGGCAGAAAGAGGAACATACCAAGTGGAATATTAAAACTTCTAAGCAACTCAACCATGGCATTTGCATCCAAACGACGCCTTACACGGTTGCCTACAAGTACTTTCACATTAGGGGAATCATACACCTGAAAGATACAAATAAGTTAGAGCTTAATGAGATTAAATCTTGTTCCTGTTAATACCACTGAATAAAACAAGAAATATAAAAAGCAATATCAGAGAATTCAAGAAAATATATCATTCGGATGTACTTTCACTTATTTGTAATATACAGATATCATTGCCAAAAAATCATGAGTTGGCTATGGATTATTAGTTACCTGAGCAGAATAGCCGAAATCATTTGTTTTCAAGATCGCTAATGCACCTGAAACATCAGGGTCAATCCCGATAACCCATTGTGAACCGGAATTGCTTGAAGGAACCTCTTCATTTCCACAGCTCACGTCATTTTCTGGTATAGGGTTTTCTGTTTCCTTGAGGGGAGGAGGGCAAGTGAGAGACTGTAGCCATTTCTCTTTGAGCTCGTCAGCAGAAACCTTACTTATTGACTTGGTTTTAGCACTCTTAGGTGTGCATAATTTTGGGAGAGAGGTAGAGAAACGCTCGGAGACGATGGAACGTAAGCAAAGTGTTGTGGTGATAGCTCTGAGATTACAGGGAAAAATTGGGGTCATGGATTTTGGGGAGATTTGCAGTTGATGATGATGTTGATGAAATTGGAGAGCTCCCATCAATTAGAATGAATGAACTTCAAAACAAAATGGATTGTTGGTGGGTTTTCCGTTAACGGTGGTGCAGGTCCTGGTGGCGGTGAGATTAGGGGGAGTAATCGGAGCGATGAATTGCAGAGAAGAGCGCGGGATGTTGTGGTGGCGCCAAACACAAGAGTGAAAGAGTTTGAGAAGATGAATTATATTCCAATATTTTCGTGTAAAGAACAGATTACAGTGTAATATAGATAATAGGCTACATAAAGAACTAAGAAAGAAAGATAACCTATGAAAAAGCCTAAGTTTATATGAAATTGACACTTTGCCCTTTAATGGGATCTATGTTCGTTTGTACCACATATTTGTCTCATTTTTTGCATTTTTTCCAAATAGGCGGTTGCTAGAAGGTTTACTGGTTACGCACCCACCGGAGCTACTTTAATGAGAAGGCCATGTGGCCTCTCATTAACCAAATGATGATCACTACCCCGTTACGAAGACGTTAGACATAGAGCTTCGCACCCTGTCACTCCAACATCATCTCTCTCGTTGTGAATCGTACCTTCTATTGAGAAAATCTTGCACTATTGGGAGGAATTCATCACGAAATCCAAGTATTTGAAGTAAATTAGGTGTACATTGTTCGTAACGTTGTTCAAGCAGAAAGAAATTTGGGTAATTATCGTGTTGAGTTGTTCAATTGATAAGTATATCACATCAATGATTAAAGATTTATCTACTTACAATTCTTCAAGTTTGTTTGTGAACAAGAGGGGAGGTTTTCATCAATAAGGGTATTCGTACCAAGAACAGTGAGATGTGGAAAGCGCTTAAAGTACGAGCATAATCAAAAGAGTTGTAAGGATGAGAAAAAACCACTAGTGCCCTCGCCACCAAAGAAGGATTGGCCAAGGAAAGATCCATGATTGATCAAATCCCTTTCTAATGCCCTATAACCAAACCTAGCATCATCCCTCAAATGTTATAAGGCCATTTAGCACTCAAGAGCACCACCCATGAGTTTACGGCCGTAAAATCATGGGGATGTGGTGTTTAGGGCCGAAAAATCTTCTAATAGTTTACTCTTGAAGAGTAAACTCCATTCCTAAGCCATACATCCCCTTAGATGCCACTCGGGTCACTCCAAACACTTGAATTGAAGTGTTTTCGCATCTAGAAGTGTTTATTCTTATTTAATTAATAGAACAAGGTCTAATTAGATACAAATTATGTATCTCTTCATATTACATAGGAACCTCGCGTGTTTCAAGCCCTGAACTGACAATTAGCATCCAACCGGCACATCTCTCGTCTGGTGGGTTCATACCCCTACGCCTTTTTCCGTGTTTTTCAATGTTTTCAGGGGGAATACAAGCAAATTATAAATGTTTTCAAAAAATAAAACTGATGTATTTCTATAAATATCTGGCTAGCTTTTAGATATCTTTACTCCTTATGTATTATTCGGAGCATAAGGGATGTTTTATTGAATATAAATACATGGATTTCAATTACAGTAAAGGAAACAATCAAAACAATCAAATTATTATGGGAATAATTTGGGATCTTCAGTTCTTGTTTTACGAGCATAAATTTATGTAAATTTAATAGATAAACTATGTCTGATTCAGTTTATCTCTGTTTAATTTAGAGTATTATGCCAGATAAATTCATTGTATTAAACAGTTTTTACTGTATTATGTTTCAAAACGATTAGTATGTTTGGTAACAATCGAGAACACCGTGAATGATTTAATACTAGCTTGTGAGATTCGTCTCCATTAAACCCTTTGGGTTATCAGTAAATTCTCCCCGAAAGTGTAACCAGAGTCTCCTGGAGAGAGAGCGTGGAATTTGTGAACAGATCTATTCGGGACTGACAATCTCAAACCTAAACTGCTAGCTACAGTTAGGCGGGCACGCCTGGAGTGACAAATTTTGGATATCGTCCGACACCTAAAGAACGTCAAGGAGGTCTCGTGGTCATATTAGCATGGTTACCCGACTCACAATATGTATTAATATAAGTTTATTCACGGATTTTCATATCTATCTTTGATCTATAGAATTTATATCTAGTACGGGATGATATTCCTATGGTCTTTATATCAAGTACGGGATGGTATTCCCATGGTCTTTATATCTAGTACGGGATGGTAATCCCATGGTCTTTATATCTAGTACGGGATGGTATTCCCATGGTTTTTATGTCTAGTACAGGATGGTATTCCCATGGTTTTTATATCTAGTACGGGATGGTAATCCCATGGCTTTCAATCTATAGTTTCTGTGTATTAAAAATTACCTTATGTCTAGTACGGGATGGTATTCCCATGGTTTTCAATCTATATTTTTATGTATTAAAAATATCTACAGTTGTACTGGATGGTATTCCCATTGGTTTTCAATATATAGTTTTATGCACTAAACTATCTACTGTTGTACTGAATGGAAATTCAGAACTTTAACTAAACTGTTTTTATAAGAAAATATGAGATTTTCTTGAATAACAACTTTTCAGAAAACCAAAGGAATCATGATTGTTTTACATAAACAAACAGCTTATAAACTCACCAGCTTTATGCATATTTTTAAACTGCTTGTATTCTCAAGTTCTCCTTAGTCAGGTATCCGCATCCTTTGCAGAAGACGGAGTAGATGGAAGTCACGTCTTTAGTTTTGTTTAATCTTATGTATCTAAAATTTGTATTACTTTGCTTTTCCAGTTTCAAACAAATGTAATGAATGTATGTAATGTAATGTTTCGTGTTTACTATGCTTACTATGTACATTGGTTGTGATACTTCACATGACGTCCTCTGCCCCTGAACGTTTCCGCCATCGGTTTCGGGGTGTGACACTCGATGAGTTCCTCTCCGATATAAACATCGAATGATCCTTCATCCAACTCGCCGAGTTGTATGAACAACTCGTCGAGTTCACCTTCATCTGATGAACAAGTCCTAACCTTGACTCGCTGAGTTGTATGAACGACTCGTCGAGTTCATCTTCAATCATAAGAAGACTGGCTTGGACTCGTCGAGTCCATTCTTGCACTCGTCGAGTCCCATGAACTCCAAATCTAAGGCTAAGTCCAAAACGTTGGGTCACTCCCTTGGACCCTCTAAAAACCCTTCTAGAACTCAACTGGGTTCCTTCAAACCTTAACAAAAAAGGGGAGTTTTGCCTCGGACTTGCCAAGTCCCAAGAATGACTCGTCGAGTCGGGCATGTCCAAGTCTCATTTCTCGATTTTCAGCGTATAACTCTTGACCAA